GGGTGTGAAGTCTTTAATTCATATGGGCTGTGGTACTTACCTGGCAGGGGAAACACCATGACCACCAAGGTGGTGTCCTAGTTGCACCTGGGGATAACTGCTTTCCTGGCACGGGGTAGTACCTGCAGAGGTAATTAGTTTTACGCCCACTTTATGGAAATGGGAGACTCCTCCCTAGCTTGTTCCTGCAGCCATACGGCTGAGGGCAAGCAAAACTTGGGAGCATCCGAACCCCAAGTCTTCAGGCTCAGGCCTGCACGTAGGATGCCCACCAAAGGATTTGGAAACATCTGATGCCCCAGATGGGATGGAGGATGTTTGCTGGTTGCAGGGCCATTTATGGTTCTCGAATGACTTGTGGATTTGGAATTGATCTGGCTGATTTGGCTTGAAACACGAAAAATTTCCAAAAACTAAAAATACAAATAAAAATACTCAACTGATAATCAATATGCATGGTGCATGCCTCTAAACTAGTTATGCTACAATGCAAACATAATGGCAACTCACAATAAAAATCTACATCTTCATTTAAGCCTCTGAGCTTTGGCAGTGGCATAAGTTAGGGTTCAGAACGCACGAAGCCAGCAGCCTCCAAGTAGAGCCTGTTGTGGGCTACTTTAACAAGGTATTGTGTATCACAACAGCAGCTGCAGCAGTATGGTTTCCAGCTTAGCCACATGAAATGCATATTAAAATGAGTAACTTTTCCGCATGGAGCTTTCCCTTTCCTTAATACTCTAATCCTTTATTAAATGTATAAATGAGAAACCAAGCCTATAGTATAGTGGTATGCAGTGGTATTTAATACTTAATTTAAACAGTTCACTCCAGCACAAGATGTGCAAGGGCTCCACTGGACTTCAGCTGAGCAGGAACTTGCAGGCCTAACCTTCTGCAAGGTATACAGACGTGCTTATCATTCAGAGTCTAAAAATCAGGCTCAGTCTAAAATGTATTTCAAGGTATTATGTATTAAAACTTTCAGGGTTTCTTTAGCATTGAACATTTTAATACACATGCCAGAATGTGAATACAAGGCTGGTATCTGCCACCAAATATCAGTAGCACTTCAAGAAAGCCTTTCCATTTAAAAGGCTGCTGTCAGCTGGATAATTTTAAATGCATTAAATTTACAAGATTCAATTTTCTACTAAACATAATTTTAGAAGCAACTCATCATGATATCTGAAATTCTTTAAAGTAATTCTGTAAGCATCTTTCTGTTCTCTTGTTGATATTTGTAAGCATCTATTTGTTAATTGTTCCCATGTCAACAAAATATGGAGTTAATCAAAGAGTTAACTATACAGAACAATAATTGTTACTTAACAAAAGTACAATCTTAGGTAGGTGCAACAGCTAAGGAAAATACTGCTACATTCTCTCTGCTGTAACTGCAGCTAATGACACATTTGTGTTGACAGCTTTAGTTCAAGAGGACAGCATCTGTTTTAGTCCCTTCCATTTGACACCTCAAAGTTTTGAGCTCTTAAAACCATCTTACTTCAGCTGGATTCCAGCCAGTTTTAAATTGAAGGAGCATTCTTTCTGGATTACCCAGCTGTGTGGTAGATGTGTGTTCCTAGATTTTCCTTTGTGCCATTTATTTTTAAAGCACTAGTTTTTATTTCTTGCCCCAGTCCATGCAGTTTCAGGAATGCTTAGGAGATGGTGTAGACCGTCCTCAGGAGACAATCAAAACAAAAACTATAGGACTCTCAGTTAATGGATCATGCTTACAGCGTTCTCTCTCTCACATCTCCACTTGAAGTTTAGAAGTTTATAAATAAATTACTTTAAAAAATACTGTGCATTTAAAATTAAACCTTGACCTTTCGAGCCAACTGAAAGCATTCCGATTTCCTTCTACTGGGGGAACAAAATCTATTCTTGTCTGACTTATTATTGGCCTTTAAAACATGGGTCTCTGAAGATCCACTTTAGCTTCAAATAGCTAAGTAACAACAATGAAACATTTATGGCTAATTGTGGACAAGGCTTTAACTAAAAAACAACTTACAGAACCATTGTTTTTAAAGCTTGATATAACGTGTGCTTAAAAAAAAAGAGCAGGAAGGATAGGCTGTTCGACATAAAGCCTTATCTGATTTTTAATTTGTACAGCACCTTGCACAGGATAAGTGCTAGCAGGAAAATAAAAAGGTTTTGTAAAAAAGTTCTGCACTTCCTCCTGTGCCCATATTGTTCTCCCTGGACACAACCATTCACATGAATGCCAAATGCATATTAAAATAAATGCAGACTGTTAGGAGAAAAAAAAATTGGTTCTTAAACTATAAAACATACTATGCCAGGAACCTGTGACTTGTGCTACTTCAGACTAGCTCAAACAGGCAGTGGTGCAGCTGAATCCACACAGCCAGGCAGAAAGTCTAAATAGGATTAATTAGTCTAAGGGTGACTAATTGGCATTGTCACTCCCAATGGCACATTGCTACTTGGCGCTAGTTAATTTCCCTGTGAAGCTATTCAAGAGTTGATAGAGTGACTACACAAGTAGAAATCCCAGTATACAGGTTAGGGATGCACAAAACAATCGAGAAATAAGAATCATAAAAAAATAAAAATAAAAAAAATCTAACGTTAAAAAAAATTGATTTTTTTTTCTTCTCACTTTCTCTTTTTCCTGGTTTTGCAAGTCATTTTTAGGGTTTTATAGTACTTCTACAGAGCCCTGTATAACTATGTAAAAATCTGCTGTAAAAGCCTGGAACAGAACGTTGCATACATCTTAAGCTGAATTCCACACTCACTAACATGCAAGCGGTTCTCACTGGAGAGCAAGCTATAATTTTCAGCATTAGCTAAATAAACACACAGACCATGTTTACATGTAGATACACACACCACTATACAGTTACAACTATGCAGCATAAGCATAGTTTGGCATCTACTAATCCAGTAGTAAATACAAATATAGTTATGTTGCAGTTGCCTTTCCTGCATCTTGATCCCTCCTCTGTTTCCAGTTCCAGTGATATGGCCTTTATGAATCCTTTGGGACATGATCCAATGAACTTCATCTTCATTTAGTTTGATCATCAGATGCTTTAAACATAGAAGAGTTATTTTTGTTTTACTATTTTCTCTCCTTTATTGACATCCCCTTGCCCCCTCCCCCCAACTTACCTTTTGTGTTTTGGTTCAGTTTTTTGACTCTTAACATATTATCTTATGCAATATTCTATTTCAGTGCCTCTACTTACAGACTCTCTTATATGGCTCCCACAATAAAAGAACTCGGGCAACAAAGGAAACTATTGACTTACTATCAAAGTGAGTGAGCTTTTAATCAGCTCTCTTCTTGGCTGCTCCTCCACTTGCATGCTGTTAAGGTCTGTGTTCCCTTGCACTTCTCAGAGATATTTAGGCACTGGTTCACAAAAGCGTCTGACAGAAAAGACAGATGAGTGAAGCTGTTGGCAAGTTCCCACGACAGCAGTTTTGAAAGCCAACTCTTCAGACTTTCTTCCTTCCGCAGAAGTCATCCACATCAGTAATCCAATCAGTGCTTAATTTAGATTACTTAAAGCAAAAAATGCCTGTTTCCACCCGTGTCCCAAACGAGAAATTACTCACTGTGGCAATATAATTGACCCACTGTGCATCTGCCTTACCAGAAACTTTTCTGGAGTGTAGCTGCGTGTCTTCAAGACATGTAGTTTTTGTTGGGGTGGGCATGGATTTAATACTATATTTTGAGGATTCTGGAAAAGAAGTGACGAAGTCTACAATGCTGATAATGAACTACATACAATTCTCCCTTTTTCAGGACCCGGGATGTAGCAACAGAACAGAGAGGAACAGATGAAGAAAAGCCACCGATTCCCTGTTCCACAACACTTGGTGGTGGGAGGGACTAGGCTCCAGTACATGTGATAAAGTTCCTGACATTTGCTAATGACTGAACTTGTCTCTCTCAAGTGTCCACCTGAAATCTGTCATTTGCATCAAAGATTGAACATAGAGCAGATTTCCATGAGGACAGACCATTTGCTTATGTGCCTACATTTTCGAATACAGCTAAACACCAATTTAATATTATGGGAGCATTTGCTGTTTTCAGGGCATCCCATAGCTGCCTCTTCAGTATTTTCACTTGTGAAAACAAACCAAAAAAAAATTTTCAATGTGGAAATTCATAACATCTCTGCAAAAAATTAATATAGGTCAAAAAGGAAGTTAAGAGTACAGTGCAAAACTGGCACACATTACTTCCTAGCTATACAAGAAGTCTGAGAAATACCTTTTTCTAACAGCGCTATACAACTTTAAGCAAGTCCTGCCATGTTCAAAACATCTAGGACTCCTTTGGTCTCAAGATTTTTCCTCCTCCATTGGAGACAAACAGTTGGATCTGAAGTGTGCCTGGTGTCAGACTGAAGGAATACTGCTATATTTTATCCATAACACAATTTGGAGAGAAAAAATTAGAGCAATGAAGTTGGCTACACAATGCGCAGTTGGAAATCATGCCATTTAAGATCATCCCTTTTCTTGTTCTGCATGTAATACATTTCCAGGACCTGGCAAGTACTTTGTCTCATACTTGGCTGTAAGGATATTTATGCTGCAAGAGGAAAACAGGCTTATCCAAGGCAGCTTTGGGAGTATTAAGTAGACATTTGGGGAATTAAGACATACACATTTCTGGTAGTGTTTCTCTCAGGAGTTCAGCTCTGAGAGCAATTTTCATGGCATCTTCTAATAGCACCACTGACAACCATGTTAAACCTAGGAACTAAGAAAATCTCAAACAAATGCACAAGCCGCTAGCCTGGTCCATCTCTTTAACATTCAGAGAGTTTCCGCTCCATGATTTATGGTGCCAGTAGGAAGCTGGTTTTAGATGCAGTTTTACCTGAGACCAGTTAGCTATTTTCAGCATATACCACCACACAAATCCTGCCCTTGAATTTTGCAAGAAGTGCAAAAGGGGCTTTACTTTTGTTTATCTTCAACTGAGAGAAGCTGATTAGTCTCTGGAAAAAGTTCCTCCCTTCATCTGAATTGTGACCAAGACATATTTCCTTTAACAAGTAGGAAACTCTAAAAAACATTTATGCATTTTACTTTCATGTGAGAGGTTTGTGGTTGGTTAAGGAAAAGAAAAACAGTAATAACCTGTGGAGGGAGTTCAGAGGTGCTGCAAAAGGTCCTGCTCCTTTACAGCGAATACACCCGTTTTGCTTTGGCGTGTTGCACCAGTCACAGGTTGAAAGTTAAGGGACAAAAATAATTCATCCAAAACCCAGAGCAGAAGGAAAACTATGATTCTGTCTGTGACAGCAACTTCTGTTCTTTGTGCTTTTATATATATATA